GAGAGAGAGAGCGAGAGAGAGAAAGAGAGAGAGAGCGAGAGACAGAGAAAGAGAGCGAGAGAGAGAGAGAGCAAGAGAGAGAGAGATAGAGAGCGAGAGACATAGATAGAAAGCGAGAGAGAGAGAGAGATAGAGAGCGAGAGAGATAGAGAGAGAGATAGAGAGAGAGAATAAGAGAGAGAGAGATATAGAGAGACAGAGGATGAGAGAGGGAGATAGAGAGCGAGAGAGAGAGATAGAGAGCGAGAGAGAGATAGAGAGAGATAGAGAGCTAGAGAGAGAGAGAGAGAGAATAAGAGAGGGTGAGAGATAGAGAGATAGAGAGACATAGAATGAGATAGAGAGCGAAAGAGCGAGAGAGAGAATGAGAGAGAATAAGAGAGAGAATGTGTGAGAGAGAATGAGAGAGAGAATGAGAGAGAGAGAGAATGAGAGAGAGAATGTGAGAGAGAGAGAATGAGAGAGAGAATGTGAGAAATAGAATGAGATAGAGAGAATGTGAGAGAGAGAGAATGTGTGAGAGAGAGAGAGAATGAGAGAGAGAGAGAGAGAGAGAGGAACAATTGGGATAAAGGAAGAAAAGATGTTTTTAATATAGGGATAAACCCGCCCCTCTCCCGTCGATTACATAACTAACTAACTAACTAACTAACTAACTAACTAACTAACTAACTAACTAACTAACTAACTAACTAACTACTAACTAACTAACTAACTAACTAACTGACTGACTGACTGACTGACTCAGTGAGTGGCTGGCTGGCTAACTAGCTAACTAACTTACTATCTCAGCCAGATTCCCTAGTCACTCCCAGCTACATCACTCATACCAGAATGTGGTGACACATTTGTTTCTCCGAATCGTTCACGTTCTCCCACAAGGCCATAACCACGCCTGCCTTATCATGCATCAGTATTCCACCAAGTTGGGCAGAGCCAGCCAGTCTCTCAGTCTGTTTATTTCCCAAAACACCAGCATACGGATAAAAAATTCTAGACAAAGCTCTTCACCCGTGACATCCGAAGCGAAGCATGTAACTCTGCACGAAGCATGCCTGTCTCGCCTTCCTGAGCATGCTTTCTGAGTTAGTTACAATCACAATGTGTGTGTGTGAGCGTGGGTGTGCTCGTGTGCGTGCGTGTGTGTGTGTGTGTGCGTGCGTGTGTGTGTGTGTGTCGTGTTCCCTAACTAACGGAAAGCTCAAGTGACCGCCTCCACCTCCATTCTTAAGCTCGATGTTGTGATATCAAATGATAGGCTGTCCTGCGCCAAACGTTGATCTATAGCTTTTACTAGGAGCACCCAAACACGTCTTTTGCTTTTGTCATTGAAACGTCTATATTACCAATCACATCCTCTTTTCCGTGCAGGCATCAGTTAATGAATGTTCTCAGTGGATTAGTAATTGTTATAGTTTTTTTTCCCCCATCCTCTCGATACAGCAATATTGATGTGACATTACAATTAAAAAGTGGAAGTTTTGTATTATAGTTCGTTCAACAATAAATTATTACACATTTCCTTTGATGCCTGTTAAACCAGCCATGGTGCGCATTACTTCCTCGTTAAAGATATTATATATATATATATATATATATATATATATATATATATATATATATATATATAATATATTATATATATAGTATATATATATATATATATATATATATATATATATATATATATATAATTTCTTCTTTATTAAAAAAAATTGCATTTCTTGATGGTATACTAAGGCTGCATCTTTGCAACATAACAGGAAGTTTTTGAGAAAATGGCTTGCAAGTGTATTCAAAAGATGTTGAACGAGCTATAGTTTTAATTTATTTGAAATTCAACCAGTCAAGAAAAAGACAAAAAGAGGTGGTCGTTATCGGTTTAAAAAAAAATTCTTGTATACAGTATAGAACAGGAAGCTGCTGTGGTGCAGCGGCTAGAAGCTCGCCTGTGAATCATAAAGTAGTAGATTCGGGTCAAAACGAAACAAAACCTTTTCTTTTTCAAAACGACCTTGGCTCCCAGGTTAACCCAAACTTAAATGGGCACCAGATACAGTCCTAGGAAGAGAAGGCCCCCCGCGTGATGTTCCCTACATTACACAGGGAGTGGTCTATAAAATATAGGTCTAGCCCTACATGCCCAATACCCCCCTGAGAGCGTGAATCATTTTACCAAACAGAGCAAGTTTTAATACATTACATCCTAGACAATAAAGATGATGACGTTCAACCCAACCAGGACATCACAACGAGCGATAAACACACGGTGACTCAAAATGTCACTATACGGATGAGGATCACCCGGGGACAGGTCCCAGCTACACCGTTCAACCCATAGGTTAGGTTGCGTCCCACATTTGGACACACGTTTTTATATATCCTATACAACACCGTAGAAGGATTCACTCTTTCCACGGCCAAAAGGATAAGGGAGATGCCAAAATATGAATCAGTCACACATCACATGGATAATCACATCAATTGCCAACGAAGGCTCGTTTATTTAAAGCTTTTATTTGTTTATTGTAATGTTTACTGTAAAAGTAACACATAGTTAATGTTTGTCATGTTATTATTTTGCTTGTCCGACCTCTCAGACTATGACTACGAATTACCGTTTTCTTTTTTCTCTTCCAAAAAAAGTTGTCAAATAATGTGCTATAAAATGCAATTGCATCATTTTTTTTTTGCGCACACGATCGCTTTCTAGTGTTTTTTCTAGATGTTTTTTTCTAACTGAAGAATTGCCAAATGCTATATTTTAAAACTTTGTCGCATCAGTGTCTTGTCGTTTTTTTTAAATTTATTTCTTTTCACGATGAACTCTTTCTAGACGCAACAACATTTAGTTTCTTGTGTTTGCCGTCTTTAAAACTATTCCATTTTTCCTTTTGTCGACTGACACCCTGCTAATCGTTGATTTTCTTGAATGCAGAGTTTTTTCGGCAATCTTTGATAAACAATGCAATGTATGCTTCTCTGAAGTTTTTGTTGAAGACGATGTAAATAATAAAGTTGCACGAACTGTTGAGACACGTTGTGACATTGGTTATCTGAAACAGCAACTGGCTGATGACTGTCGACGTTTCCTCTGTAATCGAATAGGACGCCTGTTGCGGCAGGAAAAATGGGAGCAGCACGATGAGACATGTCGGTAGATAAACTCCACAGACTGCTAGCAATGTCTTTGTTGTTCTTGTCATTGACCCACTCTCTTTCCGTCCAGTTAACTTCCTTCTCTTCACCGACGTCACTTTAAGTTTGACACCAATAATAACACAGCCGATGAAAGTAAATCCTGCAGGTATTCGTAAGCTAAAGTAGGTCCACATTTCTTCCAACTGAACCTTCACTGATTTGTCTTGCTCATACAAGGCTGAACGGGTGATCACGTACACTGTTCTGTTTAAAGCCACGTCGTAGGTTTCACTCAGCGCAGTCCAGAATATGATGTATGTGAAACTTGAGTACAAGAAAATATATACGACGCATATCGCTATGAAAGTTCGCTGGGGTGTTATCAATTGGGAGACCTTTAGTGGTTGAAATATTGTAATTAAACGTTCAATTGTTATCAACATAGGAATCGTTAGTGACGCCAAACCTGACCCATAATCGATTAGTACAAGCATTTCATGGAGGATGTACAGAATTTGTGAAACCACTTCAGGATAAGGAAACGAGTTTTTGCCATACGCTGTGTAGATAAATTTTGGCACACTGTTGAAACCAATAAGGAACGTAGTGTCACTGATTGCTAGTGCTAGAAGGAGAATGTTGGAGCTTTTTTTCAAGTTTTGTTTAGCAAGAACCAAAATGCTAAAGAAATTTCCAATAATTCCCACGATAGATATTGCTGGAATAATTCCCAGCATTAAAATCAACAATGCAAATTCTGCTTGTGCGTTGTTTACGATGTAGTTTGTTTCCGGTTCTTCTCCTGTCTCGTTTGATGTCTCTGAATTGTTGTTATCGATCCAGCGGCGCATGAGCTTTCGCCCTTTGGCCCATGTCTCTGAATAAACAGTAAATGTACTGTAATTCATTTTCTTGTTTTTCATGTGAAAGCGGCCAAGCCGTTTCCCTGGCTCTCCTTCCTTCGTGAGTCTGTTTTTAGGTAGCGTTGTAAAGTTCACGAACGCGTATTTTTCGAAAATCCAACGGCGTTGTCCCTGAAGGAACGGTGTTCGTGTTTTGTGTGACGCTTTTAACAGCCGTACAGCAATACTGAGGAGAGAGGTAAATCCAGAGATGGATATCAAGGTTTGAATGAGGACGCCCACCTCTATTAGGAAATCAGATAAGTATTTTGATTGCCAAACGGATCTGTAACTATTCCTTGACACCGACTTCGCCATTATGAATCCAACAATGCAAATCTCAACAACTGCACATGCAATTACATGTTTCCTCTGCCTAGTTTGCATTATTTCTGTGATAATGCTGTATCATCTTTCATGTGCAATGTCTTTATGTTTATTATTTTTTTTAAACCCGAATAGAATCTTACTATATATAAAAGAATTGTATTAAAAAGAATTTTGTGCTAACAGGGGACTAGTAGATGTAAGTTAGTATAGTTAAAAAAAATATTTGCATGCTGTAGCCAATCAGGTAAATAAGGCTAGACACATATGTGCTCAACATTACGCCGACTGCCTTTACATCCCATGACTTTACCTAGTACCTAGTTGAGGTTAAGTCGACCTAGCAGCCAAGATCATGTCTACACAAAAAAATACGCCTTTAAGCGGGTGTGAATCCATGACCTTTAGGTCCGTAGATGAGCGTGTAGCTGCTAGACTACGGCACAGATTTCGCTAATATGTATTATGAATAACGCATGTCTGCTAGGAACACAATTCTGTTTATGTTAACTGACTGTTCGTCTCAAGAAACAGAGGAGAGGCAGGATGGACACACAGTCAGACTTCACTGGTACTATGTTGGAATCGGAACTCTTCTAACGCGGCTAAAGATGAGCAACAGAGCGCTCATGGGAAACGTCCCGAGTGCAGTTATGTCCTCTCATAGCTCTACTCAGTCAGCCAGAAAGCAGAAAGAATGCTGATTCAGAAAGCATGCTGAGAAAGGTGAGGGCAGGCATGCTTCATGCTTCAGAGGTCCGGGGTAGTTAGCATCCTTTGGATATTTTCTTCAGGCTATGCCGGTGTGCTGGGAAAAAAGCAGACAGGTGGACTGGCTGGCTCCGCACTACTTGAGGGTAAATTGATGTATGACAACTTAGATATTGTGAGGCCCCTTTGGGAGCGAGTGAACAGAGCCTAGGCTCAGTAGATCATTACGGTCTAAGGAAAATGGCGCTGCGAGGATCTACCAAGGGATCTGGCTTACTCTACTCTACACTCCGGGGAAGGATGAGATGGATATATAACCAGACGGTTACTGGTACAGTCGGAATCAGAACTCTTCGCTTGCTGCTGAAAATGGGACCTAAGCACTTATAGGAGTGTCCCAAGTGTTGTGATGTCGATTCCTAATTCGACATTTAACATTCAGCTTTTAACATTCGACATGCAACATGCTGAGTGATATCCCTCTCTCTGGAGGTCACGAGTGAAGAGCCTTGTCTGGATATTTTCTCCGGAATGTAGGTGTGTTGGGAAATGAACAGGCAGATAGATGGGCTTGCTCCGCACAATTTCATGAAAAGATAAGACAGACGTGGTAAAGGTAGCTCGGGTACAATTGGGCGGGTTCTTTCTGCAACGTCCTGTAAGGGACATGCAAATAACTTTTTAACTGATATGGTATGGCATAACAAGATAATCTCTTTAAGGGATTGGATTTGCTGTCTTTATATGTAATTTAGAATTGATTCTATGTCGACTGTTTCTCCCATGACCTCGTTCATGCTGCTATCTCTTCTGGTCTTTTCTGCAGTCCTTCTCATAATCTTATCTCTATGGTTACTAATTTCTTGTTCTGGTTTGTTGCCAGTGACCATGTCTGGCATTGGTAGCGTAGAGTAGAAATGTATATGTTTTGCAGATGTTTCTTTGCTCTTCTTCGTTCAAATCAACCAGGCTAAATATTGTCTTCTTAGTCACTAACAGGACAGTGCGTCTTAGATCGGCCCAGGTCCCTCGTCGCATTTTCTTTCAATGTAGCACCGTTGTTACTGATCTACTGTTAGTAAACAGTGGTAACGCCCCCCCCGCCCCCCACCCCCCCCCCCACCTGTAACAACTTTGACGGGCTGGTTAAACTAGGATGTGGGTAGCCGACCTGGTTGTAAAGTACTCGGTTATTGGGATATGCCTACCCTGCATGCAAAGACTGGACTCAGCGGAATGTGTGGATGAAACCTCTTTTTGGGTTCAACGGACAAGAAGGCGATTACCAGCAGGCTCTGTGGAGAGCTTTGAGCAAGACAAGACACTTAAGACGCCTTGGTCATTCACTGCACCTAGGTCCATTTCAAATCGTCTCGACATTGTCCTGCCATTGGGTCAAGATGGACACAGACGTGAGAGTGAGGTCGACGAATTGCGCAACTCTTCCTCACTTACATCCAAGTCCATGCAGAATTTACTTTCATCCAGTTATCATAATCAATAATCATTACTACTTTGGATGAAAGGTGGTCTTCATAACTCTGATGAACGGACAACACAACAAACAGTAAACAGAATTGTCCTACAGTACATGGTGAAGGAGCAATATCACCAGCGCCACTCAGTCTGGAACTGGATGACGATGATAATGCTGATGATAATAATGTCAACCTCATCATGACGCCATTTACACCTAACTCTAACAAAGATGCAAGCATATGAGCTCATCTTACCAAGGGAAGAACTGTGCTCTATAACGACAATCTTTAGACACACTGCAAATACCAAACAATTGTTACCTAACCCTATCTTGGTGAGGAAGAACAATGCTAGCATTGTGCACATTTAGGGTCGCACGTATCAACAGTTATATGACAAAGGATATAGGGAAATGTTGGGTATGTCCTGGGGACAAGTGGGGAATTACTAACAAGACACGAGCTAAAAGTATTACCTTACCATGTGTGACGTTTTAGACCTACCAGTTAAACTCGGGTGATCTCAATTATAATTTAAAAAAATATTATATCGTTAAAGCCGCTCAAATGACATAGTCCATAAATCTTGAGAAAATAGCTATTTATCTTATAGGCTCCAATTCGTCCAGGGGAACATAAAATCCAACATATATGTATCTAATAATGTTGAGTTACGGTCTCTTGTCTGTCATGAGTTCTTTCTGGCTAGCATATATTTCCGGTGGGCATATACGTGTCAGAGATTCAGCTAGCTGGGCAGAAATATGACTCATCTAGGAGACACTTCGTATAAGTAATTTTTAGTGTGCGTATGTTAGTTCGTCTTTGTGGATTGTTGATGCTTGTAATGTGTACTTATCTGTGTTTATGATAGCTTACTAGTTCTGCTTTTCTTTGGGTTTGACATCTTTCCCAACTTTGTCGGCAATTTACTCGACATTTTCTCAACACTTTCAATTGGACTGGGTATCCATTTAAATCTTTATGTTCAGTGATTTCACAAAGTACAAGCTTATGTTTTAAAAATTAGCTATACTAATTAAATTTAAATATGTCAGTCTGATGTTTGATACCAAGTATCTCAAAGATTCTCCGTTTTTTATGAAAATTATACACTAGTAAATCCGGATAGCCTTTCCAACAAGATAAAACAGCTGTACTGAGCTTAGGCGTTGCAAACGCGCTTCATAATACGGGAGTGCCGTGTTCGATCCCAGATGTGGACAATTTGTCTTACTCTGGTTTTGACAATGGTACTGAGAGCTGACCGCACACACAGCAATGGCGAAATACTGAATGTAAAATGTGCCTAGAAAAACCAAAAGAGCCACAAATTGCTGGGGTTGGTTCTGCAACGTCCTGTAAAGGATACGCAAATAACTAACTTGAACCTTGCCAGGATTAAGACGTAACAGGCAGTCCTAATAAGGGGGTTAATTTAGGCGATAATAGTACAACGTGGCCAGTCAAAGCAGCAATAAAGGTCGGCCATCTGCCTTGAGGTAGTGTTGTCTTGAAGTAAGGCTGCAAATACGCTCAGCGTGTCAACCGAAGCCTACAAAAGACTTATTCAAATCAGCTATTAAAACGTAATTACTTTTTTAAATACATATAATAATTTCTACAAAAGTGTTTTTATGAGATCGTATACTGTACTTGAATTTACTCAGCGTGCCAATAGAAATCGTTCCCCGAGCCAAGCTTGGCAGGCATGCCATAAGTCGTCAACCACTGGATTTTAGTAACGAAATTTGTAACTCGAATTGACTTGGATGATAAAAACTGTGGACGATTTATTTATTTTGTTTTGTTAGAAAATGTACAGGTAGTTGATATGATTTCTAGTTTTTTTTTTTTTAAAGACTACTCTTAAAAAGGCTTCTCGGCTTTTTGAAAAAATAAAGACGAAACAAAATAAATAAGTCGCTTTATGCGCGACATATCTATACATCAAGCAAAGCATGTACAGATCTTACGTTCATGTGAAATGGGTTAGTATAAATAAATAAAAAATAAGGTCAGGCACTGATTAATAAATAAACAGACCATATACTAAAATATAACCAATAATTGAGATGAGTTGTGCTGTTTGTAATTTCTTCAAAGTCAACTTTGTCGGGGATCATGGCATTATTGATCTTGGATAGCGGAGCAGAGAAGATCTACAGGGATCAAAGAACAGAATTATTGTTCTGTGGACTTTGATTGTCTGTTGCAGAATTTTGTTTTTATTTAGTCATTTAGCGTTTATAACTGAAATTGTGATAGAAATAATTTCTTAATACGGCTGAGTTTTAAGGGCACCGCTGCATTTTAAGCCTGGTTAATTCTGTTTGGGCTGTTTTACATACGGTAGGTAATTTTGGATGATAAGTGACCGCTTTGTGAAGCTGAGGGATCGGAGTGGCTTTGATTTCGTGATTTCGCGAGAGAAAAAAAAAGCGATGAAAGATAATTGAACCTTACAGTTCGTTTTGATTTTTTTTTTAC